GCCGTGTAATCGCAGAAGTGGGAGGCACATGAGCCTTGGCAAACCGCAAAAGCGATAGATTTTCCGCAGATGCGGTTAAATGTTCCGCAGAAGCAAAAACACTGTACAATCTACAAAAACAGAGGGTTCCGAGTTTTTGTCATTTTTGGACATTTCCAACACGGTTTTGGGGCGATTTTCAGAGAAACTTCACGGGAAAATTTGAGGTAAGTCACTTATGATCATTGTTAGTCAATAATATTGGATTATCATCGATTATTCCGACCAGATTACATGTTTTTGAGGTGAAATTAGAGGATTTGGGCCTAAAGATTTCAAAATAAGAATTTTAGATTTGGAGATCGAATTGATGTCGAAATTCGGTAAAATTTGCATGGTTAGACTCGTGGTTGAATGGGCGTTCATATTTTGTAACTTTTGTTGGGTTCCGAAACGTGCGATTTTTGAGTTAAATTTCCGATTTTGTTGAAAAATTAATATTTTTATATGGAATTAATTTCAATAATTTGTATTGATTGAATCAAAATAATTATGACTAGATACGAGGCTTTCGGAGGCCAATTCATGAGGCATAGCAGAGTAAATATTTACACGGTTCGAGGTAAGTGACTTGTCTAACCTTATATGGGGGAAATTTCCCCTAGGATTGGTATTGATGTGATAATTATGATGTGTTGAAAGTCGTGTACGCAAGGTGACGAGTGTGTACACGGACTAAATGTGGAAGGTTATGTCTTTAAATTGTGTAGATCACTGTTGCGTATTAATTAAATCATTTTATCCTGTTATATTCATCATCATTGATCTATTTTTATATTTTTGAAATTTGCGTGACCTTTTCTTGCTAATTGCCTTACTTGTTTAGTTGAAACTTTGTTTCTTTGATTCTGTGCATTAATCGAAGGTTGAATTTCTTAATTGAAATATTATTATTATAAAGTATTTGACATTTTTAAATTTGGTATTGAGGCAACATGCTAAAAATTGTGAAATATTATTTTTACTGAGTTATTCATTCCCGAATATTTTGTGAGATTTTTATACTCGTTGTGATTGAGTCGTGAGTTCCTTATTGTGGAAAATATTATTGTTGTTGATTTAATCTGGCAAGTTGAAATATTTTGGCACTTGATGTGCAAATTATGATATATTGTGATATTGATATGCATGCGGTGGTAAAAGGTCTGGGTCTTGAAACGCATGCGGTGAGATAAGAGTGGTTTGATACGCGTGGCTAGTAGGGGAACTACTAGAAGTCATACGGTGTGATAAGGGTGGCTAAAACGCGGGATGCTATTTCGGAAAATATTTTCTTTAAAAATTAAATGTGAAGGATCCAGTAGTGATATAAGGAAATGAGATAATGTACTACATAAAGAACATAAGCCAGATAACGGAACGGGAAGACCCGGGATGTTTTATTTGTGATTTGGGACTACGAGACGGTACCTCGGGAGTGACCTTGTTGATATTTCTTTATGACTGCATTTTCTTTTGGTTATTTTGTGTTTTCCTTAAAGTTGTAAATTTCTGTTTTCCTTCCGTGAGGTATTAATTGCCCTTGTTCTGTGTAGTTAAATTGTGACATACTACTTGATTCATTCCCATTGTTATTTTTATTATTATATTGTTAAACTTTTCACCCTGTCTTTTTATTATTTTCAGTAGGACCTGACCTTGTCACTACTCTACCGAGGTTAGGATTGGCACTTACTGGGTACCGATGTGGTGTACTCATACTATACTTTTGCACATCTTTTTGTGCAGATCCATTTACTTCATATCAGACCAGGTATCAGTGAACTAGCTGCACGCGGAGACTTCAAGGTATATCTGCCAGCGTTCGTAGACCTCGGAGTCTCCATTTATCCTTATTGTGTTGCTTTCCTTATTCTCTTTAGACTTTGATAAATAGAGACACTTAGAATAAATTCTTAGAAGCTTGTGACTTATTTCTACCGGGTTTTGGGAGTTGTGATTATTTAAGTTGTCGTTCTTATTTATTTAAGTTAATAAGAATTGAGTTTCATATTTATATTCAGTTATTCCGCATAATTGATAGGCTTACCTAGTCTTAGAGACTAAGTACCATCACGACATCCTACAGAGGGAATTTGGGGTCGTGGCATCCCCATGTTCGGGTTTTGAGAGTAGGGGTGGTGATGATAGGTATGCCTTCAGTTCTCGTAGAGCCTGGACGCACTCGACAGTTTATTTGAGTACGCTAAAAAAATTGTGACATCTATCAAATGACACGAGATCAATCTCGATAGGGCGGTGATTCGACCAGTCAACCTTTGGACTTACTTCTTGGCAGTCAAGAGCTCCGGTATTCCCTCAATAGCTTTGATTTGATCTGGGTTGACCTCAATCCCCCGTTGCGACACTAAAAAATCAAAGAACTTTCCCGTGGCTACGCCAACGCATATTTCTCTGAGTTTAGTTTTATTCTGTACCTTCTTAGTATGTCGAAAGCTTCCTTCAAATGATCGATGTGGTCCTCTACCTTTACGGACTTGACCAACATGCCATCTATATATACCTCCATGGTCTTGCCGAGCTGGTCTTTGAACATCTTTGTCACCAATTTTTGACATGTAGTCCCCGCGTTCTTCAGCCCAAATGACATGACCCTATAACAATACGTTCCTTGGTGGGTGATGAACATGGTTTTCTCTTGGTCTTCTTCCTCCATAAGTATTTGGTTATAGCCTGAGTACGCATCCAAGAAACTCAATAGCTCGTGCCCGGCTATTGTGTCGATGTGGGGTAATGGGAACGAATCCTTCGGACATGCTTTGTCCAAGTCTGTGAAATCCACGCATATCTGCCATTTCCCCTTTTTTACCATCACTACACTGGTGATCCACTTAGGGTACTTCGACTCCCTGATGAAGCCATTTTAAACAGTTTTTCCACCTCCTCGCGGACTGCATCGTTTATGGCGGGGTTGTATTTATGCCTGACCTATTTTACTGGGGGGTGGAACGGGTCGACATTTAATTTATGTGTGACGATCTCCCTTGGGATGCCCGACATATCTGCATGGATGAAGGCAAACAAATATGCACTAGTTATTAAGAATTGACTGAATTTACCTGGTTTCCAGAGTTTGCAGCCGATGTAGGCCCTTTTTGCTACGGTCATTGAGGTCCAATTGAACGAGGTCGAGGTCTTCTATGGTCGAATCTGCAGCCTCGGCCATTTCAGGATCCATGATGACGTCCCTGGTCTCTCCTTGCGTCGACCTTGACCTTGTTGATTACTATGCCTCTTTTTCCTTGTCTTTTTTCTATTGGGTTACCGTGTTGTCTAAGGCAATGTGGTAGCATTCCCGGGACGTGCGATATTCTCCGCATATGCTGAATATTACCCATGGTATTGAGAATTTAATTACTTGGTATAAGCTTGAGGGGATGGCTCTCATCGGATTTATCCATGGTCGTCCCACTATGGCGTTATATGCGATGGCCTGGTCCATGATGTGGAATGTCGTCTCTAGAGTCACGCCGCCGGCCAAGACGGAGAGTGTAATTTTCCTTGATGTCCGCTCAACTGCATTATTAAAATCGGTTAGCGTGATGCAGCGCGACACTATCCTATCCTCGAGTCTCATTTAGGTGAGGTCTCGGGGATGGATAATGCACGCTCCGCTTTCATCATCCACCATGATACGTTTGACGTCAGTATCTAAAATGAGTAAAGTAATGACGAGGGCATCATTATGAGGGAAAGTCAAACCGTCGGCATCCGACTCATCGAAGATGATACATTCTTCAAGGCTGTCATACAGTTCGCGGGTGATAGACCACTTGAGCTTGTGAGTGGTGGTGAACTTCATACCGTTGATAAAGGCGCCGCCGCTGCCGATGATCATGTTGATAGTACGAGCTGGTGATGGCGATAAATTTATACAAATGAGGGTTAATCTTAGTTAATAATAATGTCCCAAAGCTGAAATTCCCGGAAGAGCGATAAATAATACATAGATCTATTCCAAAAGCTATAACAGTGTACAATAATTAATATCTAAAAACCCAAGCAGAAGCAATATAGCATTAAATAATGATGAATAACAATAAATGACATTTATGTAAATAGAACGAATGAGTCACCCAAGAAAGGATGAAATCTGTGGATATTCTTTCTGACAATGATGAATGATGGACAAGCCTTTGAATATCCGAGTTATTCTCGGATCCAGTAGAAAAGTGTGGACAAAAATCTTAGTAAAAATATTATTTTTGTAGGTTTACAATAAGATCAGATTCTCTCTTTAAAGTCAAAGTATATTTTACAAATGAATCTCTTCCCCTTCCTATTATCGTGTCTCTTTCTATTTATACGCAACATGTTCCAAAAAACCCTAATAGTACACGTGCAAAGAATATCCACTAGAATATTCTATTTAATGTCATATCCGGAGACTAGCCGTTATGACTCTGTTAAGGGTTCTCGACCTCGGCCTCGATCCTTGACGACCCCTCGACTTTAGTCCTTTCTAACTCTTCGACCACGACCTTTACTGTTCTTTAAGCCATTTCAACACGTGGCAGTCTGGGAGTGTTTCGCTAATGTCATCTTGACTTAAGTATTTTAGGGATAGATTTTGACCCATACAATCAATGTCATACATATCTCATTTTCAATACAACACCCAATGAAAAAAATAATCTTTGCATTATAATTGTTGTATTGCTAATCACTATATTATAGTTCTTATATTGCTAATCAGTGCATTACTAATTTATACAACTCATGCATAAATGTTTTTAAACCAAACAACCCCTATTGCGTTTGGACGATAAAACAATAGGTTGTTTTCACTAAACAACCAAACATCGAATAAGGGAATAACCATGTCGCAAATATTACTCCCTTGTTTCTTGGAAACTGAACTGTCACTTATTAGAGACGAGACAATATGTCACCTTATATTCTCATTGGAGAAATTAACATTGTGAGAATTTGTCTTCAAAGGTAACTAAAGTCAGGCCTAAACAAATTCCATGATGTAGACAAGCAAACAAAAGGCGAAACCAAGAAACCAAGCCGACCGGTAAGCGTTAATAATCGCATTGACTCAACAGTTCAGCGGTTCACGTTAAAAGACACCCCTCCCACGCATTTCAAACTTTTTCTTTTATCCCTCCCGACCCCACTACAACATAAGAACTTGAAAATTCAGAAATGCACCCCGAATTTTTTCAGATCAAACTCTCCAAAGTCCAACTGATCCAACAACCAGGGCATTCTTAATTTATCGAGAAGGGCTTGTTGTTCTCATAATTACAAAACAGTAATCAAATCGGAAAACCAACCAGTTATGCCGGCGTAGAAGAGTGAAGGTGTGGAATGACGATGGACAGAGAGAAGGAGAGGGAGATAGAGTTAGAGAGTGCAATGTACACTAACTGTTTGTTACTAGGTCTGGATCCATCCATCATTGGAATCGGAGCTAACAATGGCACTCCTCGTGTTGGACTCTTTCGTCATTCAAACCCTAAATTGGGAGAACAGCTTCTTTACTTCTTACTTTCTTCTCTTAGAGGCCCTGCTCAATCCGCGAAGGTACTCTGAATGAACCTTTTAGCTTATACAGGCTTATGGATTTATATTTTATGTTCATTTTTGTTTCCTTTTGATCTTTCAGGATTTCGATAAGGTCTGGCCTATATTTGATTCAGCTCAATCTCGTGATTTTCGAAAGGTAATTATGCTTTAGCTTTTCCTTAAAAGATAGTACTCCCTATGTCCCAATTTTTGTGCCTGATCGGGCGCGGAATTTAAGAAAACAAGAAAGACTTTTTAAACTTGTGCTCTAAACATGCTATAGACATTTGTATGACGAAGTTTAAAGTTTAATTATTTCTAAATATAGAAAAATATCATTCTTTTTGGTGTCACATAAAATGGGACCGAGAGTAAATTATTTTACGGGACATGCAGAATAGAGCTAATGGATAAGTATATTCTGATTGAAGCATAGTCTGACCAAGTTAACTTAAGTTGATTGAATTATGCTTTATTTCTAAAGAGATGTGATTCGTGAATTGAGTTTGGCTTTTTTTGTTTGTGGCTAATTTACTTCATTTTCTTTTTATTTGTGGAAATGCAGGTTGTGCAAGGAATTATAAGCGAGTTGGAATCCCAGGGGGCGCTTCCTAGAAGCAATTCGAGGGTCTCATCTCTTGCGACGTGTTGTGGACCGAGGTTGGTTCTTGAAGATCACTAATATTATTTTTTTTCTGGTTTCTATGAGATAGCGTTTTGGTTATTTTTATTTTGAGCTATCATTTGGACCATTTGATTACATATTGAAGTATCTTTCTCACATAGCTGTTATAGCACCGGTTGTCATCAGCAAAGTGAAGATTATTTTGTGGAGGCTAATTTTGATTTCACTACCTAATCGATTTTGGAGTAATTAACTCACCCTCAAGATTGCAACTTCAATGTCTTTCTGCATTCAAAGTCAGGTTACATTTAAGCGGTGCAGTTTGGCACCGCATTCTACACTTTAGTGACTTAGCACCCAATTGAAACAGCTACCATATTCAAATATGAAGCTGAATGTATATCAAGATAAGTCCTACCATCTAAACTCCTCTAAGCCAGGACAAAATCCTTGGAGTCGGATTGCTGCGGTTACAGTTGTCTTGTTCACTGCATTTGGTGTCGCTGCTTGAAAGTGGGTGAAATCAAGTTATCTCTTGCTTGGTTTTATCCAAGACTATTTGGCTGGTCACCTTATTGCCACTGCAAAGGGCTTAGGACTTGGTGATAGGTGTTTGTGCAAGAAGTTTCGCATCAGCACATGCACTAGGGTTGGAGAAGTGGCTTTGTTTGTACGGACCTTTGATCCTATGGTTCAACTATTAGGTTTCTTTGACTAATCACACAGAAGATGACATATTGCCTGATATTTTTGGGCAGGAATAATCAAGAAGTAGGTTATCAGTGGAAAATACTTAGATTGCAGCATCAGGGAGGGACATAACTCCTAAGTAAGCACGGCTTGAAAATGCGCAACTTAGAGGTTATTTCTGTGATTTCAGTACACAACCTGACTGAGTTAATTTTTGAAACTGACCCCAGGCTTTGGTCCAGTGGTAATTGCGCAACGCGTGATGTGTGGGTTAGACACACATCATGAGTTCGAATCTTGTTGCGGATAAAATCGTGGTATTTAAGTGGAGAAGGATAGAAGGGTGGATCCATCATTTACCAGGTTTTGAACCATGCGCCGGCTAGCCCTCGGGATTTCTCTGTTATATAAAAAAGTAAATTTACGAATAAACAAGTATTATTGAGTTTTATCAGCGCTGTTATTTAATCATCTAATTTCATGATCTTTTGGCATAGGAATTAATTGCCCTTGCAATTGGCAGTTCTAACACTGGCTGCTTGTTATTCTTATTATCTACCTGTGTGTCTGTAGTTTCACTTTGCATTTTGTTCTGTAAGTGCATACTCACATGAGTATGCGCAGGTTCGATCCTCCGCTTCCAGCTTTTGTTGAAAAAAGAAACACTCACATGTAAAAGCACACATGATAGCATTTGATGTACTTAGTGTTCATAATTGCTTCACATGCACTGCAGATTTGTTGAACTTCTGTGGCAACTCTCACTGCATGCCTTGAGGGAAGTTCATAGGCGAACATTTGCTGCTGATGTAGCTTCTAACCCATTACCTGCTTCATTGACAGATGTAGCTTTCTCACATGCAGCCACCTTACTTCCTGTAACCAAGGTCATCCTCCTCTGGCTTTATGTCCATTCATTTAACAAGGGACTTTGAAAATCATCTCATTGTTTGTCTACATCATGAGTTGCTGGGTTCTTGATCTCTAATGATTTAATGCGTCTGTCGGGTAGTTATATCTGAAGACCGGGGTTCAATTTCTGCCATTTCAAAGAAGCAATGCATGAATCCTCTTAATTATTCACGTTTGAGGGCTTAGTTTTCTTTATGTATGAAGCTATTTCCTGTTACTAATCCTGATAATATACCTTGGAGTAATGGTTTTTACTTTTTCAATACTCCGTAATAAGGTATTGAGTGGGGCTATAATGATTTTACCTAGCTAATCTTTAAGCTAATATGTTATCTGGAAAACTCTCATGATTTGTGTAAGTTAATATTGCAAGTTTGCAGATCTAATTGTGTCCTTGTTGTCTGTGTAGGCTAGGATTGCACTTGAAAGAAGAAGGTTTCTGAAAAATGCAGAAACAGCAGTTCAAAGACAGGCCACATGGTCTAATTTGGCTCATGAGATGACAGCTGAGTTTCGAGGCCTTTGTGCTGAAGAGGTAAGATAAGAATCTTATTCTCTGAGAACTTTAGAGTTGATTTATATTCTTATATTCACAGCGGTGACTGGTGAGTAACTCTTTCCGGAAAACATCTTTCATCCCCTCGGTCTCAGGCTTATTTGCAGCAAGAACTTGAAAAACTGCATGATGTTAGAAACAAAGTAAAGTTGGAAGGTGAACTGTGGGATGAACTTGTATCAAGCTCGAGCCAAAACTCGCATATGGTCCAAAGAGCTACTCGCTTGTGGGACTCTTTGCTATCTCGCCAAAGTGAGTACAAACAGTTGATGGTTATCTTAAGTTGTCTATCATATGTAAAATCCATAAAGGCTCTATTAGTATGTGTTCTACAAAATGCTATATACTCCATAGTTTGTTTTTCATATGGCAATGCCATTGCCCTGCCTGGGAGTCAACAGTGGCCATTTCCCACTTCGCTTTCTTGGTGATTGAACCCACAGCCTCAGGGTTGGAGGTGGAGGACCCTTTCCACTAGCTATCCTTCCCTTGGTACAAAATGCTAGACATTTGATATTGCAATTAATGTGATAATTAGCTATTAAAGTGGTCCCAGATCAGTTTTAACGTCTTCGAAATCATATTACTTATGTGCATATGTCGTGCAGCTCAGCACGAGATTCTCGCTTCTGGCCCAATAGAGGATCTTATAGCTCATCGTGAGCATAGGTAAAGTCACTTTCTGTATGATCTTGGGTTTCAAAAGCTGGACTTACCTTCATATTGTTTTTTAAATATTCTTGTTCAGGTATCGTATATCTGGGTCAGCTTTGCTTGCAGCCATGGATCAAAGTTCTGTAGCTCCACCTCGTGATTTAGTTCCATCACATCTAGATAATAAAGATCAATCTGAAAGATCACAAGCAGATTTTAATAGAGAAAAGCATGTGAACAATCCAGATTCTTCTCATACTCAAGCAAATGATGAGAGTTTTTCTCGAGTTGATGAAAGGACTGCAAGAGCCCATCCAACTATTGATATAGCTGAAGTTTTGAGGCGTTGGACACATGCCCTACAACGAATTCATAAGCAATCACTTCAATTGGTACGCTATTTTCTATGTTGGTTCAAGATTTTAGGTCTTTGAAGAGCGATTTTGACCCCAATAAACTCTAAGCTTTAACTACTTTGATGGAATATTGTCATTCTTTTTTCTGCATGTTTGTGATGTTTCTTATTATGTGGTGTTCTGGGCTTCTTCTTAGAGTCTAACTATGATGTCAAAGCTTACTCTACAGTCAAGGAATGTGTATAATCTGTCTTAGCATGTGATAGAGTATTGTATCTGCTTATGTTTTGAGCTTAAGAGAAATTAATCTGTAGCATCTTTATCTAGTGATGTCTTAAGGAAAAACTTCCAGAGTTCCGTGTTCATATGAAGCTTTCACATATGTGGTGAAGTATAATACTGGAACCTATCTATTTTTTTGTCAATAATTAGGTTAAAAGTATGTTCTCCTCACTTTTTCTTTTTCTTCCTAATACAATAATTCCATTCAGGCAAAAGTAAATGACGGAGAGGGTCCAGAGCTTCTGAGAAGTTCACATGATGGTGGTACAGACAGTCACGTGGAATCCTTGGCTGCAACACTTGCTGAACATAGGCAGCACCTAGCAAGTATACAGGTTTGTGCAGTCCGTCAAGTTGGTTGCATGTTTGAACTATTTTACATGGTCTAAAGTGGAGTACGAGATATCGCATGCATTGGTCATTGGGCTCTGGTAATTTCCAGCATGTTTTGTCTTTTTGGAGGATCCGTATGAAAGTGCCTTCATTCATGTCCTACCCGTTGAAACTGGTTTCGGGGCCATTGAAGATTCTAACTTAGCATTTGGAAAGTTGATTATCTGAAAAGTGGAAGTGGTATTCCTGGAATTCTCAGCATTGCATAAAAGCTATATTAGTGTATTTGTGATGATAATATACTGTTGAAACTGTTCTCCAGGTGCTCATAAATCAACTGAAGGAAGTTGCTCCAGCTATAAAGAATTCAATTACGGAGCTGACAGAAGAAGTTGATAGTATTTCGTCCAGTCTTCTCCCCATGGCCACGCATCATGCTAGATCACATTCACTGGTCCAAGCACAGAATAGCAGAACGATATCGGTAATGTTTTGTGAAGCATTTAATGGGATTTATAACTTACCTACCTTCTGCAACGCACAACAGAACTTAAACAATAGGTATTCTACAGGAGAACAGCACCGATGAGGTAGCTGAGATGACCTCAAAAATGTCATCCATGCATTTTGAAAAGGCATCAGCTACAGCCAGTCCCCCTGCTTTAAAGCTCCCACCTTTGTTTAGTTTAACACCAAATTCTTCTGGAAAAGGTGGGAACATGCAGAAGCGACATGTCTCAGCTCAGACCAGCCAAATAGAAAATCTGCATGAGAAAAAATCTCCAGATCTGCCAATTTCAAATAATTCAATGGATAATCCGCGACAAGGTTTTGTTCTTCCTTCTAAATGCGTGCACTGATTTTCTTCAGTTTGGAATCTCTAAAATATGTTGTCTGAATTTCAGCAGATGATGACCTTAGCTTTGTCAAAAATTTGAAGAGATCCGTCAGAGAAGCTGCACTTTCCTCCCAATCTTACTATCCAGAATCATCTCAAGATAGTCGTTCTGATGATAGCTCTGAGCACTATTTCATACCTGTACCCGGGGTTGGGTTTCCTCATCTTGGTAGCAAACCAAACTTATTGAGAAGTAAAAAGCTGCTCGCATCTGAACCAGATTCATCTTTTTATGGGAACCATCTTCCACAAAGTCATGTGGGCATCAAGTCAGATGGACTTCCTGACTTATTTAATGATCTGCGGTCTCTTGATGACTATGATGGCATAGATAGTTTTCTGTCAACCATGGGTTCAAACTCTTCAGTTTCTGATGCTTGCAGGTCATTTTATGATATGGAGGAAGCTGAAGAACAAGTATTTTCTCCTCCTTTGCTTATGGATACATCACTGTTGGCAGAGTCATACGAGGATTTACTTGGTATGTGTGAGCAATTGCTTATTGTTTTGGTATTTCTACTGTCACATTACTATCTACATTCCCTGGGCTATCTATCAAAGCTGATTTTTTTATTCTTAAGACCATGCTGTAGACAATAGACATGGTTTAGATTCTTAATTTAAATCCATTTGGTTTACCTTTGTTTTCTTTTTTCTTTGACTGGGGGATTATGAGTTAAGGGTATCATTTGTGGAGCTCATTAGCAACTTACCTTCCATAACTGTGCCAATGCTATATTTTTTTTAAGTTCAAAATATAGGTTCCATGACCCTAACTGGTAGCAGTGGATGAATGATTATTGAAAGCATTTCCTAGTTCTGGACATTAAATGGCTTCCCATTTTTTCTTTGTTAAATGCTTCATGATCAAAAAGAGAATTGTTGTTTGTTAAATGCTTCAATCAATCAAAATACCAATTACCAACTGTATTTCAACCCCAAACTAGTTGGCATTGGCTGTATGAATCCTCAAATATTCATTTTGCTCTATTTGGACCAATTTCTTTCATTGCTAAATTTTATTGAATGTTTATTGTTGGTCATTCTCTGGGTGTGTGTGTGTGTGAGAGAGAGAGAGAGAGAGTCATCTCTCTTTGTTCACTTTGCTTTGCATCCCTGGATGCTATGATCTACTTCCGTTGCCTTGTTGCCTTGTTTCCTTTACTAGACTATTGACTGTCTAATAGTTTAATAAACATCTTACTCTTGCAGCACCTTTGTCAGAAACTGAAACTGCGTTAATGGAGCGCTGAGATCAAAGTTCAAATTGCCTTGCTGCTCAGCCTACAACAGATGCTCAGAATCTTGTACTTCCAATCTTTCAGTGGTTTGGGATAACCTCCAACTTTCTTTCTTCATTTGTTTATGCTTATCCTCTTCACGCGGCGTCTCATCTTGTTTTGAGGAGCAGAGGGAATTTGACATCTCGACATTTCTTAAATCAGCTTGACAGACTGTTGTGATCTTTAAATGTTCACCCACCACTGTCAACCTGGGTTCATAAAAATAAAGCTCTTCTGGAGGAGATCACCAGAACTGCACCAGATGTGTAATGTATTCTTTACTGAAGGGAAAAAGTGCCATCTTACTTTTGTGATTGCTACACTTCCATCTCTTGGCAGTTAAGCTTATGTTCATCACCCTCTGTCAGTTTAATAGTAAGATTTAATTGTAGATAAGTAATTATTATGCCTTTAGTTGATCCAGACAGTAAAGAAATGTTCAGTTAATGCGTGGATGGAAAATTGAGTCTCCCTACTGCACTGCAAGACCTCTTAGTTTTCCCTTGTTATATATTAACAAGCCTGTGTATAAGCTTCTTCAGCTTTCTGGCGAAGGATTTAAACTTCTGTCCTATATTCTTTGGTGTGTTTGTACTTGGAGACAATTTCCATGTCTCTTAAATCTGTACAACTATAAGTTTGAAGCTTTTAACAACCCTTGTTGTAGTTGTCTTTGTCTTGTCTTCTTCTCCCCTCTATGAACTGACATTCCATTTTATCTTTTGATTTCGCGCACTAAGCAACTGCCTGCAAAACGGATTATACTGTGATGTATGAATTGCCTTTCCCTTCTAGACATTAAAACACCTTTCATTGCACACTTGTACCATTAAAACACCTTTCACTGCACATTTTACCAAGTACCTATAAAGGTTTCTGTTTCTGGCTCAAAGCTCTTATCCTTTTAACTGAATTTATTTATCCAACTGCTTATTTATCTAAGATAATCTTTGGTTTACTTCTTCGAGTTATATGTGGCGTCGATCTGTTGGCTTATAGACCTAGGGCCGGTGCGGTCCCTAGTGTTTCGGGTAAAATGTGAAATGATAGTAACCTCCTCTGATGGAACCTTGTGTGTCTGAATATTCTAGTTATCTTTTCTTCAGTAGGTCTTCGTTCGTAGGTTATAAGTATAAGGTTTTCTGCTACACAACATGCCCACAGTTTGGGTGCTATCGACAAAACCAATCAAATAGATTGGAAGAGAAGGTTGTCTGCTCCTTTGGCCATTGACAGGGATTTGAAAGAAAAACTTGGAAATAATGAAATCCAAGTTAAACAACTGGAGGAACAGTTCTAGTGTTTTAATTGGAGTATCATAGGAAAATCTTCAAGCGTGAGCTAAGGAACAGCTGGAGGGTTACAATTGGAAAGAGGTGGACTGCTCATATGCTCTATTATCTAACAATATCTGAATATTGAGGATCCCAATAATCTTGATGATTAATTTCTGATCCTTAGTTTTGCCATATTCTGAAGGTAATGTAGCCGTCGAATAACTTGACTTTGAGGCAAGTACCAGTGTACCACCTCATGTTGTCTCATTTATTTATGAGAAAGGAAGATCTTTATCATTGTTTTTATTTTTTGTATTTTTATATTTTGGAGAAGATTGTAGGTTTTCAGATTTAAGCCTTAATTTGCTCCCTTTTAATTTCTTTTTGGGGGTCAAAAGTAGCAAAGACACAAGTTCTCTGGAAAACTTTGAGTTGGATTGGTGCAATTTGATGATTCTATTTTAAAAATCCAGGCTCACAATGACCAATATTATACAAAAAGAAAAAGGAAGAGAATAAGACAATGTTTATGATTTGAAGCGGAGATGTGAAAAAGAGATTGGACCAATTAAAAACAAGACAGGAAGTTGCTCAAGCTAACTAAATTCCAGACTTCCTAACTGGGGAAAACAGAAATGGCAAACAACCGTTAAATGACAACCTAAGAGGGATTTGGACATTTTGGGATTGCGTAGTTTTCTCGTGAGCTTTTAACTGAAATGGTTCTTTAAGTTTGGAGATATGCATATTTTTGTTGTTAGTAAATTGTTCTGAGTACATATGATCTTTAAGTTTGTAGTTTTTGAGCACTTTTGATCCAAGTAATGAAATTCTCAAATAAATGCTTGAAAGCTAACATTTTTTCATGTGACCAAAGTAGAAACAACACCGAGGTTCTTTTTCTTTCGAAATTGAAACAAAATACACAACCAACTCTCACAATAATTCATAAAAACAATTTTCTGATATTTAAATTCAATCAATTAGAAGAATAAAACAGACAAAATAATCAGAATGTTTCCTTCTCTATAACAGGAAAAGGAGTGAACATGTCTTATCTCCCATGTTACACTACAATTGGTAGTATTTGGTAAGCCTCTTGCATCAGGCTCTTTACTTTTGCTCTTAGATTCTGGATTCTGGAGATTTCAGAAAATATAATTAGATTTGTGGATTTTGAGGTTACATATGTGTTGGAAAAAAAAAAGTTGACATCTGTTAGGAAAAAACGAAAATATAAACCAAAAAAGGACCAAAGGGGTAAAGAACAAAACCAATAATAGAATGAGGAAAAAGAAAAAGACTCAAATTTACCATTGTATTATTCGAAGTTATTTAAATCTGTCGTTAATTATACTTTTGGAAGGGAGCCTTGAAATAATAGTAAACTTATCTCCGTGTGATCTATAGATTACTGGTTCGAGCCGTGAAAGCATTCACTAGTACTTGCAGTAGTAAGTTGTCTACATCATATCCTTTGGAGTGCGATTCGTTACGGATCTTGCATGAATGCGAGATGCTTTGTGCACCAGATTGTCTTTTTAAAAAAAAAAAAAAATTATACTCGTATTTATACTTACAATTAAGGTAGCTCTAGTGTAAAATAAATAGACTCCACGTATCTAATTTTTGCAAGAAGAAAGTTTTAAATTTACCCATTAATTTTTAACTAGATCTATTAAGCAGTTAAGAACAAATATGAAACGTTTTCCTAACAACAAGATAATATTAAATTAAAAAATTTAACGTGTTATAAAATAAAGGTTGTAAAGTAAAGAAATCGAAGACAAGTATAGAGAGACTGATATATTATACAACTTCAAACTTATGTACATAATGAACTGAATTCTCCTCTATTTATAGAAGAAAGGAAACTGTTGTGTAAGCTGCTACTGCAAACTGTTGTGCAAGCCGCTACTGCAAGCTGTTGTGTAAGCTGCTTGTAAGATGCTGCTGCAAGCTGTTGTGTAAGCTGCTTGTAAGCTGTTACTCTAAGTTGTTGTGCCAGATATAGATAATCTTCTACCATGGGTAATATTTATCCATAACGGAGTACCGAAAGGATAAGCTTTTTTAGGAGACTTATTTCCAATAGAGTACTAAATAGATAAACATATTTAAGTCGAAGTCTCATATGGATAAGCTTGTTCAGGAAGCTTATGTACAACGGAGTATTAAATGAACATCCATAATATAATATATTTATAACACTCCCCCTTGGATATTCATTAAAAAATAATGTGCCTCATTAAAACCTTACTAGGAAAAAACCTTGTGGGAAAAAATCCTAGTGAAGGAAAAGTAGTACACATATTTAGTAATACGCATTGCTAGCTGCTTCATTAAAAACCTTATAAGGAAAATCCTGTGGGAAAAAACCTTAGTAAGGAAAAAAGAATACATCGCGTATTTTATTCCCCTTGATGTAAACCTTGTTTCAAATATTTAAGTCTCCGCATTCCAATCTTGTATACCATCTTCTCAAAAGTTGAAGTTGGTAAAGATTTAGTGAATAAATATGCCGGATTGTCACTTGAACGGATTTGTTGCACATCAATGTCACCATTTTTCTGAAGATCGTGTGTGTAGAATAATTTTGGTGAAATGTGCTTCGTTCTATCTCCTTTTATAAATTCTCCCTTCAATTGGGCTATGCATGCAGCATTGTCTTCGTATAAAATTGTGGGTCTTTTCTCACATTCCAAATCACATTTTTCTCGAATAAAATGAATTATTGATCTCAACCATACGCATTCCCTACTTGCTTCATGAATAGCTATTATTTCAGCATGATTTGAAGAAGTAGCAACAATAGATTGCTTTGTGGGACGTCATGATATGATAGTACCTCCACATGTAAAAACGTACCCGGTTTGAGATCTAGCTTTATGGGGATCAGATAAATAACCTGCATCTGCATGACCAACAAGATCTGCACTATCTTTGTTAGCATAAAACAAACACATATCAAGAGTTCCCATTAAATATCGCAATATATGCTTAATCTCGTTCCAATATCTCCGTGTAGGAGAAGAACTATATCTTGCTAGTAAATTAGCAGAAAATGCTATGTCAATCCTTGTAGCATTAGCAAGATACATTAGTGCACCAATTGCACTGAGATAGGGTACTTCGGGACCAAGGAGTTCCTCATCCTCTTCTGGAGGTCG